GAGAAAGCCAGACGGAAAAGGATCTAATGTTAAATGATGTGAACAGTTGGGGCACAATGAAATGACTGTGACCTATTCATCAGGACGGACTACCCCTACCCACACAAATATCCCAGAGGACTCGCAACATATACCCACACAAACACTCCACAGAACTAACTACTCCCTCCCTAATACCACAGGACTCTGTAGATCTCTCTACATGATGAGTAAAAGAGGAGATCATCCGTGGGTATCTGACGATGCCCCTCCCCAATAGCCCACTGGACTCTCTATACATATACTAACACAAATACCCCACAGAACTAACTAAACCCTCCACAATAAACCTTAGGACTCACTACATAGTACATACCGGTATACCAGCACAAATACCCCACTGGGCCGTCTATCCCTATCCATACAAATACCCCTTTACAGGCCGGACATTAAGGCGATGGCTTAAAATATACACAAATAAGCTTTCACAATGAAATGACTGGCCTATTCATCAGGACGGACTACCCCTATCCACACAAACATTCCATAGCATTCATTATATATACCAGCACAAATACCCCACTGCGCTGAACTATTTCATTTGCATGCAAAAATATAGGACCAACGGACTAATGAAAATTCCACTTTCCAATATCGCCCTCATTTTTTACCTTTTCCAGCATATGAAACGGTTCTAATGTAGTTATATACACTTAAGGAGGTAACCTCACTATGGTTTGTTAGGGGAGATACCAGATAGATCAGCTCTTCTCCACTTGGGGGGGGGGTGGTTACTATATACCTGTCATCCAGGTAAAAATCTGATATGGGGGAAATTTTCCTAATTGAGATAGAACAAAGATTTATATCGACATTGCACAAGTATTTCAAAATTGTATGTTCTACAATTTGCCCCCCCCCCCCCCCCAAAAATGAAAAAATAATTCTAAATCTTGATATTCACCAAGTGAACAGAGTTGTCACTGAACACACAGTTTTCTGAGGGAATATGTGAAGTCTTAATTTTTTAAACTGTTCAAAAATCACAGATATTCAAAATCGTTTACAATTTATAAAACTCACTGTTACGATGTCCTTAGTTGCTTTACTCCCAATTTGTATGCTTCCAGTGGATTTTCTGGCATTACATTTCGTTATCGCCATATCTCATCGATTTAGAGCTAGTGTACAAAGAATAAAAGCAGTTATAATACAGAATTAAATACAGGGAGTAAGTTTTGACTCTTGAAACAATGGCATTTTATAATGAAATGATTTACCTGCGATAGCGATAAATGTCTTTGGTCTGTATCTGTCCTCCTCCTGATGTCAAAAGGGAGGGGGGGGTACAGAAAAAGATTTCTACTTCGACAGCATGATTAACATGTAGTACCACACAAAGTGTTTGTAAAATCGATCATTTATTACTTAATCCGGTAGTAGTTATGGCTTATTTTAAAGTTCAGATTTCAGTAAAAATGTTTAATATAACAGGATAAATCTAACTGTATCACAATCCCTTAACAGCGATCGAGGATCAAGTCCCTTTACAGCGAGGATCAAAGCATATAGAGTCAAAGGTCCAGCGACGATCGAGCGGTCAAATGTGTCTGCATGGAGCTGAGATTTTGAGAGTACAGGTAGATGCCATTATGTCAAAGTGCCAGGGGCTCAGATACTCTGAGTATAGGTAGATGACATGGCGTCAATGTGTCGGAGGCTCAGATTCTGTGAGTATAGGTAGATAACGTCAAGATGTCTGGGACTGAGTTTCTGTAAGTATAGGTAGATGACGTCATTGTATTTGGTACTGAGATTTTGTGAGTATAGGTAGATGACGTCAAGATGCCTGGGACTGAGTTTCTGTGAGTATAGGTAGATGACGTCAATGTATTTGGTATTGAGATTTTGTGAGTATAGGTAGATGACGTCAAGGTGTCTGGGACTGAGATTCTCTGAGTATAGATTGATGAAGTCAATGTATTTGGTATTGAGATTTTGTGAGTATAGGTTGATGACATCAAGGTGCCTGGGGCTGAGATTCTCTGAGTATAGATTGATGACGTCAATGTATTTGGTACTGAGATTTTGTGAGTATAGATTGATGACGTCAATGTGTCAGACTGAGAAACTCTGAGTATAGGTAGATGACATGGCGTCAGTGTGTCGGAGGCTGAGATTCTGTGAGTATAGGTAGACGACGTCAAGGTGTCTGGGGCTGAGATTTCCTGAGTTTAGTTAGGTGAAATGACATGTTGTCTGTTGCTGAGATTCTTTGAGTTTATAGTTTAAATGACATAAGAGGTGGGTCGCACGATGTCGGTGTCTAGAGCTAATCAGCGAGTTTTGGAGAGGGTACGGCATCAAGATATCCTATTTAGGTCCAAGCAGGGGCAGGGAGGCGGAGGGGCTTTTCTCACATCAGAAAGACAAAACAAATAGACTTTACATCATAACGACTTAGCAATGATTTTATTGTTGTGTAACGCAAAAGTAACTGAAGTTTTAAGATTCATTTTCTTGTGCATTGAAATAAACTGATTTAGAATTGCACAGCTTTATTTATGTACGGCTAAAAAAAGATGTTGTTTAATAAAACTCCGTTTGTTTTCATAGCACATTGCATGGAAGAAAGAATTGTGGAAAAATTTTCCACCAATCTGTGAACGGAAGAACTTTTCGGATTTTGTGCGGATGGTGATTACTCGGTCTGATGAGGCTAAACACCATCACCGGGTAAACATTCATCCGCATAATGTCTGACCAATCAGCGCTGGACTCAGAAATCTCTAACCAATCGGCGCTGGACAAATGCCCCAACCGATCTGCATTGGAATAATTTTCGATCATGCGCCGATAAAGGGTGTGATCTACCAATCAGGATATAGAGTACAGAGGATGATGGATGCGACCTGCTAATTAGGAGGCAGATAACATAAGATGGAGAATGTGTTCTTCCAATCAGAATACAGAGTACAGGAGATGGTGGATGTGATCTACCAATCAGGATACAGAATCAGGATACAACGTACATTTAGAAGTTGGATGATGTGATCTACCTATCAAGATACAGAGTACATAAGATCTACCAATCAGGACACAGAGTGCAGAAGATGTTTGGGATTGTTTTAACAGGAACAGTGTTTTCATATCAGAAACCTTTCCTGTTGATTTGGTCCCAATTATTTAGTCTTCTGTTGTAAAATTTTTTGATAGTATTCTATATATCTGTTTGTGTATATCTTAATTGTTAACATTCCAAGTTTTGCGTTTACCAAATCATAGGAATAAAAAAAAAACGACAGAATATTTTAAGATCAAATGTGACGCCTTATTTGATAAAAAAATTTAAACATGTGCGAGATTTTATACAATGGATGTATCTGAAACTTGTGCAAGAAATACATGTACATGTATATAAATTTGGAAGATAAGCAAACTTGTTTAGAGTGTTTTCTGAACAAAAATGTGCTTGAAAATTTATGAAAATTTTAATTAAATGTGCGAGAATTCGACTATTTAGGAATATAATGAAATCTGTGTGTACTACCTGGAATCAATACATTTTATAACGGAGAGGAAAACAGATCATGAACGTCTACTTCGTTCAACCTGCAGCTGGGACCAAGGAGACTTGACTCATCTTACAATTTTGTTATTTTAAACATCAACATACATTTCTCCATATTGTTTATTTCTTTGGGGTTACAATTGGCGATATTTCCCCCTTATAATTTATATGTTAAGATTTTGAGAAATCTCTGTATATAATACTAAGCTTTCTTGTCGTCCCGGGAAATAAGTGCTGATCACGGTGCACGTGATATTAATGTTAGTGATAGCATTGTCCACTGGCACGTGGCAACAGATGGGACTACGAACCATTTTTTTTCGAATATAACGCCCCCCTCCCATACAACGCATTTTTTGCACCAGTACAGTAAAATAAGGGAATGAATATTTAGTACTGAAAGAAGTTGGGGAACTTTGGACAATTAACTTTTTATGCCCCCTCCCTTTCGAAGAAGGGAGGACATATCGCTTTGCTGCTGTTTGTCGGTCAGATTGTCTGTCTGTAGATCCACCATCAGTTTCCGTTCATTTTCTTCCGAGAGGTTTCATATATTGAAATGAAATTTGGTATACAGATTTATCATAAAAATATTTAAGTTCTGTTTTGGGCACTATCGACCAATTTGGACAGAGTTGTGCCCCTCAGTTTCCGTCCATTTTCTTTGCAGAGGATGCACATATTTGAAATTTTGTTTACAGATTTATCATAAGAGTATCTAGGTCAAATTCTGTTTTGGGTACGATCGAGTCATTTTGGACAGAGTAATGCCCTTGGACTTGGAGAAAAAAATTCCAATTATTGGGGGGGGGCGCATAAGCGTTTAATACACATCTCTTCTTTAATTTGGTTGCGATTTTTTTTTTCCAGGGCAAATTATATAGAATATGTAAAGCCCTTCTGTTTTCGCATTTTATCTAGAAGTTTTTAATTATAAAATCGATTTTGAACGGACTTATCAAGTGAGCAGGAAAGCTGTCAAGGGGATACATGTATTTATTCTAATCTTTCACTTAATGATTGTAACTTAAGGACAGTGACCGGTCGACTGGGGAAGCTTACTGCTCCATTGCAACTGATCCCAATCCAGATTATCATACGATTTCGTAAAGAAAATAACACTGAATGTTAATATACAAGTAGTACATTTCAGCTTGATTATTGTTCGTTATCTCTTTATTTCTTGATTTAAAGTTCTGCTCCAAGTAACAATAAAATATTTAAAAGGGGGGAAAAGTTCTTTTTTTAAATCCACGGTAAAAATGAGGACAATGGCCTGGAACTGATTCTGCTGTGTGAAGGATATGGTTGCTGAAATGTGATACAGTCGATGACATTGAAACGTTCTCCATCACGTTTAGGTGACGAAGCCTTTTAAGATTTCTATAAAGTTCCTGCATTTACACAGGCATCCGGTTTCATCTTTATACAACAGAGCACGCAACTCAAATTCTTATTGTAATATTTTAATGAATACAGAGAAAAATTCTGTGTGTTTTTACATTGCAGACAGTGAGTAAAGCAATACATACAACGGAAAAACACACACGCTTTAAAGGTAAATCAAGTATATACAAACTGGATTACCAAGAAAATCACTTCCTAGAAAACTGTTTAGTTCCATTAATAATTAGGTTAAAAAATCATGAGATTTTTAAAAGTGCCTTTTTAAAGAGTTTTAGCTACATTTTATCCTGGAGGTTGATAATACTTGATTTACCTTAGATTTAAGGGCTGTACAGGTCAAATCAAACAGCACCAGACACGGGTCATTTAGTTTGACCTTCACATGACCTTGTGTACACCCACACAAAACAAAATGACTATAAATGAAGACAATCTAATTATGCAAAAATGACAACAGTGATATAAAGTTTGATCAAACATCCCGGGTGTTGGTTTTTTCTATGCATGGCAAAAAATTGGAAAATATAAGCTCCAAACATGTTTATCAAACCAAATATCAAATAGCAGGATTTTCCTGAACACAGCTTGGGTACATGTATATCTCCATGACCCTTAGTAATAGTAACTACAAACCACATTTCTGCCCTAGATGTAAGAGACATACATGTACAGATGTACTAGACACAAGAAGCTGTCTTTCTCACAATAAAACTGGCAAGATGTTAAAAACCTTCCAAGCACCTGCTTAAAAAATTAGTGTAAAGGTTTTGAGAAACAAGATTCTATTAAAACTTTACATTCTAAAGCATTAATGTGAAAAAATGTCCTAGGATATTTTGTAGTTAATACAAGCAAAGTTATCGAGTAAAATTTTCTTCATTTAAGAGAAAACTTTACGTTCCTGTCTTATAAAATTGTGTTCAAGTTCCTTAACATTTGTCTTCACAAATATTCATAAACAAAACCTGGATTAAATTTAACATGGTCAATCACCAAAATAACAAATTTAATAACCAAAGGCAAATAAAAAATTGATTTGAGTTAATTGACAAGCACTGATATTTGTTAGGAATCCATTATTTGATCATGTTGTTTTATGTACTATTTTGGGACTGAACAAAAGATAAATTGAATCCAGTTAAATTCAAAACTAAACTTTGAACAATTAGTAGAATGAGGAGGCTGTGGAGGGAGGGGGGGGGGGGGGGGTCAATAAATCATATTCCATTCTTATTGGCGGGGGAAGCCACTCATCCTATAAGTATTTGAGGGTTTTCAAAAGCAAAAATATAGCTATCAGCTTATTTTAAAAAATAACATTTAAAAAATCTCAAATTTAAATATGACAGGAAATTTTCAAGGCTTTAATGCACAATAACAAGTAAATTACTGGCAAAAAATACAAAACAACTTGTTTTTATGCATTAATTTTAACAATACAAATACACAAAGACTGTCTGTCTTCTATGTTTAACATCCACAAATTTCCTGATATTCAAAAAAAAACAAAATTTTGGAAAATGGATAATTTGAAAAGAAAAAACCACCTAAAAATCATGGCTATAAAAAACAAATAACGGCATTCAAATCATCCACAAACCAGGTCAAGCTCTGTAAAACCCTCAACATGAAGAAAAGTTCAAAGTTTAAAGGTGGTCCCTCTACAGGGTGGCACCTCGTGCAGCGCCACCTGGTGAGGAACTGCTGGCCAGATCTCCCTCCATCTTCACTTGTGGACTGGAAGAAAAATAAAACAAAGGGGATTAATTTTATACTTTCGTGACACAAAAAATTAAGATGGTCGAAACATACCGTATAAGGAGAATTTTTAGCGAGGATTTAATTTTGGCATTAATATTAGGGAGGGTTCTGAGATCGCTAAAATTAAATATCACTAAAAATAAACTGTGTTTAATTTGTAATAGCTTTTTTAGTGAGCATTTTAAAAATCGCTAAAATTATTTTAAGGATAAATTGCTAAATTTGCGTTTCGCTAAAATTTCCACTTATACAGTATATTATTGGTGAATTTCAATATTAAGCAGGGGGTATCGATTTATTTTAAAAAGAAAATAAAAGGAAGTCAAGTGTCTGTGATTTACATTTAAGAGATTTTTTTTTCAATTGAAGAGAGACAAAACAACTGATGTACTGTGGCATTGCAGATTTTTTTTATTTAAACTAAGAGTTGGAAATCTTCTAAAGAAGCAGAAAGTCTTAATATAGCCCATCTCCATAAATACAAGGTATTAATGTTAAGCAGAACTACAACTATCTCATATGTGTATAAGAAGGGAAGTAACTCTCTAAAATTATGAATATTGCATCAAACTGAATAGTATTTCATGAATGAAAAAAACTGACTTTGGGTTTTGCCGTCAAACTTAAAAATGATAAAAGAATAATGTATTAAGTAGCCAGATGATTAGAAGACTGATTTTTGCTCGACTTTTGAGCTATCCTATGTATCAATTTGCCAGATGATTAGAAGACTGGTTTTTGCTCGACTTTTGAGCTGTGCTGTTGAACAATCTTGACTTACCCATCACCCTTGCCAAGTTCTTCTAGAAATTTGAGCGCCTCCAGTGAAGCTGAATCTCGTGCCGCCTCTGTCGACATTCCACTACCGTGAAACACGCGGGGAGGGGTGGACAGGAGGGAAACTCTACTCAGATACTCACTCGTAGCTCCCTACGATTATAGACACTTTTTATTTTTTTAAATTTTCACTTCTATGAAATTACTGCAATACACTGTACATGTATTTACACTCAGTATACATCTGATATAAGCAAGTATTTTATAAATTTGAATGGTTTGTCTTTTCTCTGCCAGCTGGAGACTTTATTTTATAAAGTGCTCCAGTGATATCATTATATTAATTACATCAAGCACCTCTGCCCAGGCTAAAATTATGACATACCTGCCCCGACTGAAATTCGTCAAACTTGATGTCCAGATTACTCCTGCTGGTCAGTTGTCGGAGATGAATCTCGGGTCTCGTAGCTGTCTTTGTCAAACTGTTAAAGGTAGCGTGTCCATCCAAGGGTTGTGTACCACCTAAACAAAATCAGACAATAAAAAATAATAAACCATACACAGGGAAGATATAGAGAGAACAGGTACACAGACTGTATACTTACTATGAGTTTGTCTGTAGACTGTTCCGTTGTATTTAGAATCGGGCAGCAGTAATAGGCCGGGAACCAGTTGACGGCCTCCAGAACTTTTACCGTTAGCAACACTTTCTGTTCCTGAAATGTTTAATCCCACAATGACACGTTACAGGAATGTAAGACGTTTTTATGACCCTGGAATTGAAGATTCAGGATCATATGGTTTTCGTCCGTATTTTCGTTTTTCCACAAATAATTATCCTTGTCTATAAATGTTACTAGTATTCGGCTGGTGATAAGGATTTCATATTTCACATGAGAACTGTAAACCAATTTACTATTATTGGTGTCATCTTTTATTCACAATTGGTCAGTTTGAATTCAGTGATAATTGTGATAAAACTTTTCGTTTTGATTTTACAGTATACAGTTGTGGACTACTTACCAATAAAGTGAAATGTAAGAAAAACGCTCACAACAGCTATAAATAGAAACTCTGAAAGAAAGCTGCTCACTACAGCTATAAATAGAAACTCTGAAAGAAAGCTGCTCACTACAGCTATAAATAGAAACTCTATAAATAGAAACTCACCACCTTCCTCTGTCATCTCTTGAAATGTCACTTTTTTAATTCCTGTCTCCTGAAACAGAAAGAAGAATGGTCAAGACAATCTACTGAGGTGTGAGTCTCATAGTTCATTCTCTTTTATGTGGGGAATGGATTATCAAATGTCCATTAAATATAATTTCCAATAATTTCAAGACAAAGCTATTGAACCTTGTTCTGGGTCAAGAAGCAGACTTCGATTTAATTTGAAAAATCAATCATATGTCAAATTAGGGAATAACTTTTTTATAGTTGACTGTTAATGCTGATTTAATGGTCACAAACAAAGTTTTACTGGACACAGGTTAGTCCGAAAAATCTAACGTTTTCCTGGCTTTTTTTTTACGATTTTGATACTTTATACGCCAGGAAAACGTCAGAACCAGCACCATTACGAAAACTGGAAATTTCGCCGTCTTCAACTGGAGTTGATTTTCGATACTTGTGAACCGAACTAAATGCCGAAATCAGAATTTATCAAAACCACAATGTCTCTAGTACTCACCAATATCGATGAAAAGAAAATATCACTCCACTTTTCGTAACAGGACATGCAAGATTTTAAAATGCACGAGTTGAAGACAAATCTTGACAGTGTAATAAAACCTTTTTCAACGGATTATTTATTTCATAAATGAACCATAACAAGAGGCCCAGGGGCCACAAAAGCACATCATTTCTTGAATTTACTCCCCCCCCCCCCCAGGCGATAATCATTTGAACAAACTTGAATCTACACTACCTGAGGATGATTCCATCTAAATACCCCGGGTATCACTAATCATAGCTTTGAAGTACTTGAAAAGAAGAATTTAAAAGGTTTCCCGATATATCCCTATGTAAAACTTGGGTCGGCCATTTTGGCCCCACCCTATTCCCAGGGCCGGGGGGTCATGAATTTTTAAAACACTTGAAGTTACTAGGATGCTTCCACATGAGTTTCATCTTTCCTGGCCCAGTGGTTCTGGAGAAGATTTTTAAAGATTTTCCCTATATATTCCTATGTAAAACTTTGGTCTGCCATTTTGGCCCCACCCTTGCCCCGGGGGTCATGATTTGTACAAAATTGAATCTACACTACCTGAGGATGCTTCCACATGAGTTTCATCTTTCCTAGCACAGTGGTTCTGGAGAAGAAAATTTTTAAAGATTTTTCCTATATATTCCTATGTAGAACTTGGGTCGGCCATTTTGGCCCCATCCTTGCCCCGGGGGTCATGATTTGTACAAACTTTCTACACTACCTGAGGATGATTCCACATGAGTTTCATCTTTCCTGGCCCAGTGGTTCTGGAGAAAAAGATTTTTAAAGATTTCCCCTATATATTCCTATGTAAAACTTTGGTCGGCCATTTTGGCCCCACCCTTGCCCCGGGGGTCATGATTTGTACAAACTTGAATCTACACTACCTGAGGATGCTTCCACATGAGTTTCATCTTTCATAGCACAGTGGTTCTGGAGAAGAAAATTTTTAAAGATTTTTCTTATATATTCCTATGTAAAACTAGGGTCGGCCATTTTGGCCCCACCCTTGCCCAAGGGGTAATGATTTTAACAAACTTGAATCTACACTACCTGAATGATTCCACATGAGTTTCATCTTTCCTGGCCCAGTGGTTCTGGAGAAGAAGATTTTTAAAGATTTTCCCTATATATTCCTATGTAAAACTTTGGTTACATTTTGGCCCCACCCTGGCCCAGGGGTCATGATTTGTACAAACTTGAATCTACACTACCTGAGGATGCTTCCACATGAGTTTCATCTCTCCTAGCCCAGTGGTTCTGGAGAAGAAAATTTTTAAAGATTTTTCCTATATATTCCTATGTAAAACTGTTAAAGGTATTTTGGCCCCACCCTTACCCCGGGGGTCATGATTTGTACAAACTTGAATCTACACTACCTGAGGATGATTCCACATGAGTTTCATCTTTCATAGCACAGTGGTTCTAGAAGATTTTTAAAGATTTTTCTTATATATTCCTATGTAAAACTAGTTCCCATTTTGGCCCCATCCTTGCCCCGGGGGTCATGATTTGAACAAACTTGAATCTACACTACCTGAGGATGATTCCACATGAGTTTCATCTTTCCTGGCCCAGTGGTTCTGGAGAAGAAGATTTTTAAAGATTTTCCCTATATATTCCTATGTAAAACTTTAGTCGGCCATTTTGGCCCCACCCTTGCCCCGGGGGTCATGATTTGTACAAACTTGAATCTACACTACCTGAGGATGCTTCCACATGAGTTTCATCTTTCCTAGCCCAGTGGTTCTGGAGAAGAAAATTTTTAAAGATTTTTCCTATATATTCCTATGTAAAACTTTCGGCCATATTTCCCCACCCTTGAGAACTTGTAAAAACTTGAATTTACATTACCTGAGGATGCTTCCACATGAGTTTCATCTCTCCTGACCCAGCGGTTCTGGAGAAGAAGATTTTTTAAAAATGCCATTAATTTTTAACAAATTCATGATTATCTCCCCTTGGAAAAGGGCGTTTACAGTATAACAAACTTGAATCCCCTTCACCCAAGGAACTTTGTGCCAAGTTTGTTGAAATTGGCCCAGTGGTTCTTGAGAAGAAGATGAAAATGTGAAAAGTTTACGACAACGACAACGACAACAACAACGACAACGACTATAACAACGGACAAATTTTGATCAGAAAAGCTCACTTGAGCCTTCGGCTCAGGTGAGCTAAAAACTATATTGGTAAGTTCTTTAAGTATTGTACCATTGGTAACTATTAACTTTGAAATTTAATTCAGTTTGCAAGTATCTAAAATCAAAAGAAGAATGGTCGCCTCCGGTTGGAGGTGTGATTCCCAGTTTACGTAATGGCACTTTTACATTTTCCTGGCATGTAAAATATCAAAATCGTAAAAAAGCCAGGAAAACATCAGATTTTTTGGACTAGACACAGGTAAAACAAATTGTAACAAACTGAAATTCTTCATTACATTGTAAATAAATCCCCTGGGTTCACCCTTCCGGTAACTTGTGTAATAACCCTGTGGGGAGCCCCTAAATCCTTTAGTTCCCATAGTAACATAGCAGCCCTGTGGGGAGCCCCTCGTTTTACTTTAAATAGTAAGGTTAAAGCGTGCTCTGTGTATGGTCGGGACAAACAAATAGTGTTTCTAGTGCTACACAGGGGGCCTGTCCATAGAAAACCACATGGGTCTTATGCCTTATTTTCATGCCTAAAGTCTCTCTACAGAATGTTACAGATATGTAAACTGTCGGGTAAAATTCTTTATTTGAGAGTAGCCATTTCCATGTTATGGTGTGTGACAGAGACCGTAGCGTGTGAGTGAACTATCGCCGACTCTCTAAAACCCGTTCTGTGAGTTACTAGTATATCATCGGGCGGTGACCCTCATTAACATTTCATTATCTGAGTTAAAGTTATTATATGAACCAAACATTGTGAAAGTTTGAGAATTATAACTATTGTGAATTTGGAAATAATTCTGAATATTTAGTTTCATTGAAAGACATTTCAAAGTGTTGAGCCTGGCACGGACCATTGTCTCTGGAACCCGACAGGAACCCAGTGTGCCACAGCCCGTTATTAATTAACATTGTTCCGTGCAGCCATACAAAAAGGAAACTGTAAAAATCTATTTTAAAGGATTTCCGCACTTACGTAAGGTAACCATTGGTAACATTAACTTTGAAATTTAATTCAGTTTGCAAGGGACATGCGCACTGACTGACTGAGGACCAGGACCAATTAACAAAGACATTTTCAATCTATTTTATTTTTGTACATTTTTTTTTTTTTTGGTTAAATTCTTTGTTAAAATTTCTGTTTACTTTGTTCTTTAATTTTGTTATTAAATTTTGTTAAAATTTTAAAGTTCTTCTTTTGATTTTTGTAAGTTCATCAGGGTGTATAACCCACACCCTCACACAAATGTTGTCTTAGCCTGTTTAATGACTCTGGTCCCTGGATGTTATATTTACCTCCTGGTTGTTGGCAGATTTGATGGCAGGTTTAGCGGGTTGAGGGGAGGGTTTGTTGTATCCCAGCAGAGTCAGCATGGCTTCAGCTGCGTGCCGCTTGGCCAGCTTCTTATTGGGACCCACTCCAGTACAGGTCTGGTCGTCAACTTGTACCTACAAACAGAATTATCTCTAATGAGTACCTACAAGGCAGCATTATCTCTAACTTTACTAACACAGACCTACCGACACAGGACAGGAATTTGACTTCAGACTCATATTTTACCTGGATGACAAACTCTCGGCGTCTGGGAAGTCCCCTCTCCGTCAGTAAGGTGTAAACTGGTTCCTTTTTCTGCTGGGCCTGCTGAATCTGAATCAGGCGACTGATCGGGTTGATTCCCACACCGTAGTTAGGATCAGCCTTCTGCATTTGTTGCTTTATAACAACAACATAAAAACTTCAGTCACCAAATTAAATTGTACACTTGTCATCCATTTCAAACATTTTATCTTTTGCTGTTCTAATATACAGGTAATCTGTTGATATCATTTTAAATTTTAAATTAAATTTATTTAAATAGTAAACAAGAGGTTACTAGAGCAGATATAACATGAATTTCTCTGAAATTGAAGTTGGTCCTAAGTGGCCAGTTTGTCATTTTCAGATTACATGGCCTCTTTTAAAAGGTGCTCCTGTAAACACCATTCTTAAAGACTTTTCACACCAAACACCAATTATGCATTTAATTTACATAAGAAAACACATTATGTACCTGCAGTAGAAGTATCAATGACTGGACTTACCTTGATGATGTTTTTGTTCTTTTTCTTGTTGATCTTTGGTCGAGGGCGGATCACGGAGGGAGGGAGGGGTGGGAGCTCCTTCAGTTTCTCCAGGATCAGGTCGGCCGCCTTCTTTTTGGACACCTTCTTACTGTTCCCTTCGGCCTCAGTCTCCATGTCCCCCACCTTACAGCGGGTCACAAACGTCTTCATGTGGGGGGGACCCGACTCACGGATAACCTAAAAATAGAAAACATAGTGATATGAAGGGGGAATGAATCATGGATAACCTAAAAATAGAAAATATAAAAATATGAGGGGGACCTGACTCACAGATAACCTAAAAATAGAAAATGTAACGATATGAGGGGGGACCCCACTCACGGATAACCTAAAAATAGAAAATGTAACGATATGAGGAGGGACCGACTCACAGATAACCTAAAAATAGAAAATGTAAGGAAACGACTCACAGAAAACCTAAAAATAGAAAATGTAAATTATACGTAATGGTACAGAAAACCTAAAAATAGAAAATGTAAGGATATCAGGGGGGACCTGACTTATGGATAACTTAAAAATAGAAAATTAAACGACTTAAAAATCCTACCTAAAAAAGAACCTACCTAAAAAGAACCCTAAAGGAAATTTTTTATGGATGGCAAGCAGTTAACCGATTACTCGGTCGGAACGATGGCAATCCGTTAGAAAATCTGTAATTGGTTAGTGGGAAAAAATAAAATTTATGAAAAAATGGAGACAGTTTTCTTAAAACTTTCTTAAAATAAGAAATTTCTGCACTGAGTTTGATAATTTAGTGTTACGGTATATAACATATGCGTGGAATAAATTATCACGTAATTTCGCGAGAGGCATCACACACAAAATAAAATTATTTGCTTTATTTTTATGGTGCTGAAATCTATGTAAATCTCGTGACCAACCGTTCATTTGCGAATTATTATTCTTGCGATTTGACGTTGAAGAGCCCATTCGCGGAAATAAGTACTCGCGAAAAATAAGGAATTTACAGTATTTACATGTAAGTTAATTTGGCCTTCCGTATTGAGACCGTAGGATAATTTGTCAGTTAATTTGTTTAGTGTTGATTACTGTGAAAACACCGTGTCGTAACCCCAACTGTCCTAAATGTATATTTATTTGGTGTGTTCCCGTTTTGCACACATTTGATATTTAGGTATAGAACAACAGGTGTGAAATGTGTTTTGTATAGAACAACAGGTGTGAAATGTGTTTTGATAACAATTATAGTCTGATTTTTGGCTAGGATTTACCTGGGTTTACTTGAGTGATTTGAAAAAAAATTAAGACTAGAACTGTCCAAACGGGATTAAATACCCCCCGCTGGGTTTTTCAGAAGTAAGTTTTTCCATAATAAAGATATGTATCACACATGAATTATGAAATTTTTCTTCCAGTGACCTTGAACTTCCCCAAATGACCTTGGGTCAAGGTCATGACACACTCATAGGTCATGGGCAATCTGTGTGTGAAATGAAAACCTACCAAGTTTATCCATAAGAAAGATATAGACCGGACAAGAATTACCAAATTTTTCTTCCAGTGACCTTGAACTTCCCTAAATGACCTTGGGTCAAGGTCGTGACACACCCTTGGGTCATGGGCAATCTTTGTGTGAAATGAGAACCTACCAAGTTTATCCATAAAAAAGATGTGGACCGGACACGAATTATGAAATTTTTCTTTCAGTGACCTTGAACTTCCCTAAATGACCTTGGGTCAACGTCATGACACACCCTTGGGCCATGGGCAATCTTTGTGTGAAATGAGAACCTACCAAGTTTATCCATAAGAAAGATATGGACCGGACACCAATTATGAAATTTTTCTTCCATTGACCTTGAAGTTCCCCAAATGACCTTGGCTCAAGGTCATGACACACCCTTGGGTTATGGGCAATCTTTGTGTGAAATGAGAACCTACCAAGTTTATCCATAAGAAAGATATGGACCAGACACCAATTATGAAATTTTTCTTCCAGTGACCTTGAAGTTCCCCAAATGACCTTGATTCAAGGTCATGACACACCCTTAGGTCATGGGCAATCTTTGTGTGGAGTAGTAGATTCTAATGTCCCTCCATAAGAAAGATATGGATGGGACACGTTTGCACAGACAGACGGACAGACAGACAGACAGACAGACAGACAAGGTGATTGCTATATACCCCCCCCCCCCGAACTTCGTTTGCGGGGGATATAAAAATGTTAATTTAGATACAATTAACTGATTAATCAGTTGGAAAATCTTGTGATTAACTGATTATCAACTTTGTATTTGATTGCCATCCCTGAAATTTTTATATAAACTCAATGATTCAGTCACTTACATCAAAACTGACGCTCATGTTCCTCTTGAGGGCTACCTCGTGTACCAGGCTGATCTCAGACTTCACAATATCTTTTTCATCTGTAGAGAAAATATACATTTATCAATACTTCATTATTAAAAAGTATTCTCCTCAAAGTATATAAGATTACAGCACTGCAGCCAAAAAGAAAAAAATATTCTTGTTGTCTGATTTAACCAAGGCCTTAGGGGTTTCATATCAATCTTTCTTCTTCTTTTTTATGATCCCAATTCAATTTTAACAAGTAAAACTTTATAAATGCATGGATTTTTAAAATTACATTTGTCTCTATGACAAGAGAAGGCAATATAATATACATGTACAATGCAATGTTTATAAGTAATTAGTAAGAAGTACTTGGAGTTCCATCGGTTTCCACCAAGCCCTCGGGTTTCTTCTCCCCTTCATTGGGAAGCGGGAGCTTGCGTAGAATGTGGAGGGCCTTTTTTGCCGAGTCGTGCCGCGCGTCCTGGCGAGTCGGACCTTCCCCGATGAACTCTCTCTGTCCCACCTTCAGGGATACGTAGAAGACCCGCATCATCCGAGGGTAGTGGTACCTAATGAAAGAAAGATAACTCCAAATGTTCAAATGACAACAAACTGCTTCTGGGGTTGTGGTATTTAATGAAAGGGAGATAACTAAACATGTTAAAATATTGATAAACCCTTTTCTGGGGGTAGTGGTCAGTCATACATGCAGAAATTTTAAACCAAAATTTAACAGCCGAAAATCTGACTCATGGTGAATATAATGATGTCAGAGAACTGCTGACAGAAAAGAACAAATATCAAACCTCTGATTATACAGGCCCCGGTAGTTGTAGTTGGGGGGACACTGGTAGTAGGGGAGCTGTCTCTGGGGTTCCAGTGGTTTGTAGAGGGTTTGTTCTCCACGCTTCATGGCCAAGGCATTCAGTTCTACTGTAGGAGTGATGGGCTGATTTCCGTACTCAGTCATCCAACCTGCAACCAAAAGATAAGCTACAATACAGGTCTTTGCTGAGGAAAAAGGGGGATGTTAGATAAGTACCAATATGATTGTTTGGTTGGTATTGTTAGGGGGAGGGGGGTAGATACGTACCTTTATGATGTGGTTTGGTAGGTTTTGCTGTAGGGTGGGTGTGTTAGATACACACCATTATGATGTGATTTGGTCGGTTTTGCTGGAGGGTGGGGGTGTTTGTTACATACCATAATGATGTGATTTGGTCGGTTTTGCTGGAGGGTGGGGGTGTTTGATAAATTGATACGTACCATTATGATGTGATTTGGTCGGTTTTGCTGGAGGGTGGGGTTTTTTGATACGTACCATTATGATGGGGTTTGGTAGGTTTTGCTGGAGGGTGGGGGTAGGCGGTTTTCTCAAGGGCCTCCCCTGCCGCTGCGTGCTGCGCTTTCTTTATACTGGCACCCGAGGCAGAATATTCCTCCGTGTCCCCGAGTTTGAGCTGGACAAAGAATGTTTTCTTGTGGGCGGGGCCTTGCTCGTCCACTAAAGTGTACTGGTGAGAGATCTACAGAGAAGGGCATAAAGAGACAACATTATAGAACAAACAAAAATAATAGTACAACATCTAGTTTACAAACATAATCTATATAATAATGTATACATGGAAAGATTACAAAAACTGTTATTAAACATAAATCTCATGAGTTCCTAAGGAAGTACAGCATTGGTTTCAGTAAGATTCAGAATTACTGACCACAGAAGAATTCCAGGATAGAACCAAAATTTCTATTAGATTTCAACAGTGTGTATCTTTAGATTTTTTAGGTACATGATTTTATTATTTAAGGAAGATATGTTGTCATGTCTCTGAAAGGTTTTTTCACTGTTTTATTAATTAAAAGTAGAGATTTTTTTTTACCTTATTATATCGGGCCAATTCATTGATAAGACACATTGGGGTTTTCTCTTTTGTGTTTGCCAAGTCTTTTGCTGGATTATGGTCACCTGTTGCGTTGATGGGAGTTGCACCGTTTGTGTTGGTTGCTTGTAGTGGTGGCATTGTTGCATTGGTTGCTTGTAGCGATGGCATTGTTGCTGCTGGGCTGTTGATGACTGTTTGCTGTTGCACCATTCCTGTAATTTAAATACAATCAAGTCAATGAACAACAACAACATTCTGCTGTAAACTTTCAAAATGAACCCATTCATCATTATATTGCACCGCCATTAGAATTGAAAATAAAGAAGAAAAAATTTAACAAAAAATGCTCTTTCAGAGATCTTTGTTGTCTACACAAATATTTTTTTAACCCTTGCAACACTGCAGGCCTCCACAACGGTCTGATAAAATTTCTCCTTTCAACACGAAAGACTGTTGTGGAGGTTTCAGACACAAAACTGAAGTAACATGTTTATTCTTAGAAATAGAAAGTATTCTCTATGCAAAATCTTTGCTATGAATTATGGATAGATTGATGTAAACATCCTGTAACAAATATGGCGGACCATATGGCAAAAAACACTGGAAAAAAAGGGAAAATTAGACGAATGTTAAAGGAAACAAAGAAACTAGCAAAATGGGCGTAAACATCAAAATGTCCGATGTTGCTGACAACGAAATCTTAAGTAAAAACGGGGATTTGGATATTATAAACGTTCATATACATTGATATGCTAATGTTGTGAGGTAGTCACTGTGTTGACTTGGAACAATATGGTCTCCAAGATGGACCACGTTTTGTAAGCCTACAGCTCTAAATAATTAAAGAACACCATGTTTTTATTTATTTATTTTTTGAAATTTTTTCAAATAATGACATATTCCATTGATTTTAATCGGAGAATAATTTCTAATTTAAACATGGTAAGAACATATGTGATCTTTGAAACTTCATAGCAGTAAATTTATCAAAATATTACATAAAGTCATTTAAAATACAAAATATTTTTTTTTATTGGCGCTTTTGTCTTCTTAAATAATTTTACATGCATATAAATTTCATACAATCTAACTGTCTTTCTTTCTCATGATGTGTTTTTATTAAAATATTTAATTAAATAAAGAATCAAGTTATAGTATTTTTTCTAATGACAGATGATTTTCTGATGATGGCTTAAATTACTCAATTACATACGCTGGGTCTGTAAAAGTTACTCAGTGTTGAAAGAGTTAAATTAAAAATTGTGTTAATCCAATTCATACTATTGAACACTTCACTGCATCCTCATTAAGGAAAATTTCCTGATAGAGATTTCTACTTCTTCTGCTGCTGCATTTACTCACCGCTCTGTGAAATCTGCCCCACAGGAAGTCCCATAGATCCATTCTGATTGGCCAATGGGACTTGTGTGGGAGTTACTGCCGGAGTATGATTGGCTGCTGGAATCTGGTGCATTGTGGTATAGCTGGCAGCAGGCATCATGGTATTATTTGCTAATGTTGAGGTAACTGTGTTCTTGTGTACAATGCCTGGTCCCATCATACCACCTTTTGTACCTACCACATAAAATAATTAAATCAAAAACAAACATACAGCATAAAATAATTATTAAATCAAATCTTCAGAGGAAAACAAACACACCACATAAAATAATTAAAACAAACATACAGCATAAAATAATTCAATCAAATCTTAAGAGGAAAACAAACATCTACTATTTTTGTCATTAGGAAGAATACAAAACTATTGAGCAAAAGAATTATCTCTTTGCTTTCACTTTTTAAATAGTCTCATCAACAGTTACTTGTTTTTGTTTAATTGTGGTTTTAGGTTTTAAGTTTCAACAAAACTCTCATATCATTTCAAAATTGTTTAAGTTTTTTGAAAATATTTCAATCATAAATATTACTAATAGACATTATCTGAAGTATTAAACATGGATTACATACGCTGATTTTGTGTTTGTGAGTTTGAAGGTTGACTAGAATTTACATGCACACCCATCCCTGCATTAGCTGGAAAAGTTGAAATTCCTCTGGTTTGCTATAAATGAAAGAAAACAAGTCTATATAGTGCAAGAAAAGTCATCTAGTAACCCTGTATGGTAAATTAAATGATTATTAAACATATTATATTCCTAAAAATACACAGACAGTGGATCAATCTGATTAAAATCAGATCCTTTGATCCGCTCACACAGATCACTACACAAGGATCTGACGATCGAAACTCCATTCAGGGTCATCTTACTCATCCTCTGATGACCTTTCAATTATCCAATCAAATGCTTACTTCCAAGAATTGAGAATTATCTTAGACAGACTTGCAAAAAAAAGTTTTTATCACTGTTACAGACATTTGATCTAAAAGAAATGTTTTGACAAAAGCCATAGTATCAGACCTATGCTTGTGTTTATTTTGGTGCGTAGAAAGTCAATGAATAACAACAATTTGCCCCTTATTATTTTCATGCCTTCAATCTAACACTTTTCCTCTGAAAGTGTCTTTAAATAGACATAAATGACATGTTTTTTGACTTTGTGATAACAAATTTACTTGGCATCGTAATTCAGAGTTATATACCTTGTGTTATTATATTCTACTATGGGTTTAAAAATCATTACAGAAACAAGTGCCTATGCCTTTTCCATGTAAAAATATAAACACTGATAAAAGTAAAGTCTAACAAAATAACCCAATTCTTTAAATAAATAACTTTTACTTTCCATTAAAATATATACAGCCGTAACAGTCATCTTTGCAAAATGAAAATGGCAAACCTTGCCGTTGCATGGCGGTCCTACTGAAAAAGAGTACACAGAGTACTTTAGAGTATGCAGGTTATATTTTATAATTTATATGCAATTAAAACTTACTTTTATGCCTATGTTTTTCTACATTAGTACAAACATAACATCTGAATATATATTTTAAAAAAATAACATTCAATTTTTCTGACATTAATGAATTTTTTCAATTTTTGATTTCAGGTTACGGTTGATCTGCCTTGCTCTCCGCCATTTACCTGAAACGTTAAAATGTCTTTTTGAATATTTTTGTTTCTGAAAAATATTTACACATGCACATTTCATTAATTTAATATTATTAGAAAAAATTTTGATGCAAGTTACTTTAGATTAAGAAAGTCTGAAACAACCATATAGGCCTAATCGAGATTGTGTTATTAGCTATAGGTATAAGCCAATGGTAATCAATTTAATGACCATGTTTTTAATTTTGGATGTTATTTCTTGTCAAAATATCGCTAAAAAACAAATATTTGAAACAAATATTGGAAAATAAGTTTATAATGATGTTTAATCAAGTTGTACATACATAAATAAACAATTTAATTGCATTAAATAACATAATTTTTCTAGCGTACTCTAAAGTACTCTATCGTACTCTAGCGTACTCTGTTTAGTAGTACCCCATACATGGTGTGCTGATGAGTGATGAGGAAATTAATGATCCGTATTTCAATTTAAATTTTGTTCTGTTAAACACGCATTACCTTCTTCATTTTAATGGAATATTGTAGAATGTTCCTTCCTAAACGTAAAAATGGCCTAAAAGTTCATTGCAGTAAAAGAGAAGATAAATATTTGGCAAACAGCAAAGAGAACTTAGACTAACACTCCACCATGTTTTTGTCTGCACCCAAAGTATCTAATCAATGTGACTTAGGAGCTTGAATTGACTCCCTGATTTCACTGTTTATTAAACATTTATTTGATCACAAATATGAACATTAAATGTGAGAATTGTTTTTTCTTTATAAAAGAAATTTTAACAATAACATAAATCTTAGATAAAATCTAACATAAAATTACGTTGCATCAAAATAAAGCTAGTTGGCTGATATTTGACTGGTTCTTATCATTTGAGAACTAGTTTACTAGTAGCAACGAAAATAGCTTCAAAATGGCGACCAAGGGTTGAATTGAGTATTGTTTTGTGCCAATAATTTGATGCTTCTTCTCCTTTTATTTAAATAGCATCGACAGTAACTTTGCCAAAATGTCAATGATTGCAAAGAATCGCACTAAGAGTTCCTGGACGCCTTTGAGTAACGAGGAAACTAACAATAAGGTAAACTCCGGAACAAGCAGGTGCCCGTTCTTCTCTCATCCACAAATAGTTATATAGTAGACCTGAATCAACAATATCTATGTATCTGACTTTGTAAACAATTTAGTTTTGTGATTTAACTCAATTACAAACGGAAAAAGGTCTGCATACTTATTTAATATCTAAATTATTGATTTGAAGTTCAATTTTATAATGTGGAGAGCATACAATAATACAGGCTTATACATGTGTATTGTTTTTGAAAGGTGAAATTCAAAACTTATGTGTAATTTCTTAGATGTGATAGTATGATTAAACATTTTTCCCTTGAAAATGTAATATCAGGTAAGTAAAACAAAGCTCTAACTTTATTTTATGACTAAATCAAGTGTTACAGGAAAGGAGAAAATGCATGGCTGGACCGGGAATTGAACCCCGGACCCCTGCATCCTCAGTTAGGTGCTCTGCCAACTGAACCATTTAGACCGATATACACAGCCCAAACCATTACATTCCGCCCTCCTTAAATGGTCTTGGCCCTTGAAGACACAACCCAAGTTCTTATTACCCCCTGGCAGGACTTTCACCTGCAATACCAGGGGTGGTCAATGGCACCAAATCTGTAACAGGAAAGGAGAAAATATATGGCTGGACGGTAGGGCTGGGAGGATACAACTTGTTCTATATCGATTTGTATCACAATATTTGAGCCATGATATGTATCACGATATGTTTAATTACTTTTGAATTAAAATCTTTTTTTGCATTGAAATAAACAAATTATTTCTTTGCAATTAAGAATAATTCATTCAAAATAGTGTTTATACGTTGTAAAACAAAAATATTTCATTCAAGTGGTTTTCATCTATATTAAGCTTATTTATGTTATATATTTATTAACCCCAAATGTTAAATAAACAAAGAAAAATAGAAGTCAGATTTTCATGGGCAATATTTCAATATTTCTTTATTTGTATCGATATGCGTATCGTCCTCACAGATATCACGATATATCATCCCAGCCCTCCTGGACCGGGAATCGAACCCGGAACCCCTGCATTACTACCCGGTAGTCAGGTGCTCTGCTTACTGAGCTATCCAAGATGATATCCATGGCCCAAACCTTTACACAAGCAAAAGGTCAATTTGTTTTTTCCTGATCGGTGCTTGGGATAGCTCTTTTTTTCTATTGCCCTCTGCTGTTGGGTCTGAATAATAGGATACAATGATCTAGATATGGTATTTTGGTTTAAATTTTAATGAAAAAAAACACTATTTTCCAGTTCACTTAAAAGTTTACATGAAATAGAGAACAAGACAGTATATTGCAATATTGCAATTTGCCATCAAATATTGCAATATATCGCAATATAATTTTTCTGGCAATATCCACCCCTACCCAGATACATGTTCTTTAATACTATTATAGATATAGACATTAGCCAAAATATATGTTTGGATTATATACATGTGTAAGTCACTTTTATTACTTTTGTAGATATTTGAAGAAAGATCTTCCCTTTTAGGAAAATGGGTGAGTGTTCCAACAGACTTTTATTATAATGATGTTTTTCACACTCAGCTGATAGAGAAAAGTTAATTAACCATTAATCAGCTGTTACACTGAGTAGTTTTATTATAATTTATCAATTTGACAATGCTGTTGAAAATTTCTTCACACTTGAGACATCTGAACTTGTATTTTTATAGTTATAAAGCACATTCTGTGTGTACTATTTGTTTTATTCTTTTTCTGACAGTATGATAAGTGGACAGATGAACAGAGAAGAAAAGTTTTAGAAGACCTGATGAATAGGTCCAAAATAAAACAATTAAAATTTGTACAAGAGATCGTGAACGAAAAAGTGCCCTGTATACGTGAAGACTTTACCCGAGAACTGCCCAAAATTTTATCTGTTTACATTTTTTCATTCCTGGATCCTAGAAGTCTAAGTCGATGTGCAAGGGTAAGATAGCAATTTATTTGGAATCCAAACCAATCATCAAATGGTTTGTTTCCTTCAATTAATGAATAGACTATTTTTTTTAAACCATAAAGGTCAGTATATGTATGTATGCTTGGTGTTTTTTTTTTGGGGGGGGGTGGAGAAAATACTTTGTAATTGATTAATTTATTTGAAGTTACATTGTATTAGGCAGATTTTTTTCTTCTGACTCCTTTTTATTTAGAGTCAGATGGATTGATACACATTTTGGGTTGAATTTAGTGTCAAATGTTGTTGTTGTCGTTGTCGATAAAGTCGTTAACTTTTCACATTTTCATCCACACTCAATAGGTACCACTGGTAATTTCAAGACCAAACTTGCTACAAAGTATCCTTGGGTAAAGGTCTACGATTTGGTTTGTTTCTGCCAGGACCACACCCTTTTCCAAGTTGGTGTGTGGAAAAGAAAAATTAATGACATTTTTAAAAAATCTTCTTCTCAAGAACCACTGGGCCAGGAAGGATGAATATCATGTGGAATCATTTCTCAGGTAAACTTGATTAAGTTTGTTCAAATCATGGAAAACATTGGTTATCTGGGGCCAAAATGTAAATATAGTTTTACATATGAAATTAATGTAAATATTTAAAAATTTTATTTAAAAAACTGAGCCAACAAATGACTTTCTTATGTGGAATCATCCTCATGAAGTGTAGATTAAGTGTGATTGTGGGGCCACAATGGCAGATTTTTACATAGGAATATATAGGAAAAATCTTCTCATTGAGACATGAAAGATGAAACTCCTGTGGAATCATCCTCATGAAGTGAAGATTCAAGTTTGTTCAAATCATGACCCACGTGGGTAGGGTGGGGCCTAATGGCAGATCAAAGTTTTACATAGGTATATATAGGGAAACCTTTTAAAATCTTCTTTTCAAGTATTTCAAATCATGCTTAGTGATATTTATATGGAATCACCCTCAGATAGTGTAGATTCTAGTTTGTTTAACATTTTTACCACCTGGGGGGTAAACTCAGGTGACCCCCCTCCCCCCCCCCCCCCCTCAGTAAACTTTCAGTTCTGATCTCATGTGCTTTTTCCTAGCCAATTGCTCAGGTGAGCGATGTGGCCCCTGGGCCTCTTGTTTAGAGTCAGACAGATTGATACACATTTTGGGTTAAAGGATGACTGCACTTAAGGAAACTTAGAAATTGTGACATAATTAATTTTAAAAATAGGCATATTTCTTTTAATGGTAGAAATGGCCAGTGTCTTAACTGCAACTTTGTGTAATTACGTTAATTAAAAGTTCGTATTAACGAAGTTTGAAGTAGTTTTTATTGGGAGGGGTCATTGCATATCCTGGAATCTCCATAGGATAATGAGTACGCCCACCTTTTTACAGGCTTAATACATAGTCAGCGCAAGTTTTTGTATTTTTTAACCTTTTTATTTTAGTTGTATATTTATATATATTAACCATGTTAACAAAATTATCAAAAGGAGATCAAAAGACAAACATGCGTTCTGGTTAAAAAGTGTGTTCACTTTCTATATAGTAAAATGCCATTTTTTGACCACGTTGTTACCTGTTGAATATTATAATTAACCACGTGATTTCTATACCCAGGTAAATCTGTGAATACTAAAATTCCATCACGTGACATGTAAGGAAACACGCATTCTGCTAGGCGATAGTGATTGTCCATATCTGTTTCAAACCATTCCCATCGAGCCACGGGTTATTCTTTTTTCTCTTAGACATCTATAAGATTATTCTTATATTTATCTCAAAAGCGTTTCATTCTACTATATTTACATATTTTCGAGTGTATTGTATGTCTCTACATGTTCGTAGTCTATAAGAAAAAAAGAGATTTATTTATTATGTTTTGAACCATTGCTTAACATGAACATCCAAAGTAAGATCCAGGAAATAAAAATGAAATTCATCCCCCGCACGCTAATTTATGGGGAGAAGAAATTATATAGAAAAATGCTTAAATAATTGTGACGTTTTTCTTTGCTTTTATTAAATAAAAACTAAAAAATTATGAACAAAGTCTTAATGTTGATATTCAGGGCCCCAGGGTCAGAGGTTCTGGTGTTAGGACAGGGCTCAATTGATTATATAGTGAAAATGCATTAAATCTTTGAAAATCTTCTTCTCTACTACTAGGTATTAAATAAACTAACTAAGTACATAGTTATGATGACATCAGCCATTGCTTTGATTTTCAATGGCTACTTCAGGGGTTCTGGTGTTATTTGTTATTAGTTATATACTAAATTGAAAACTTAAAAAATAATAGTATTTGATAAACATATAAGAGAGAGAGAGAGAGAGAGAGAATGCACCAAATATAAAAATTGTAACTTTTCCCCATTTTAGAGGTTCTTGTGTTAGCTCCGCCTCTTATGCATATATATAAAATGCATTAAATCTTTGAAAATCTTTTTCTCTATTTGCAAAGAGGTATTAAATAAACAAATTATTTTATTGCATCGCAGTTTATAAGCTTTATGACATTGCCTTTCATTTGGAAATAGACCAAACTCTATAAGAAAAGACTTAAGGCAAAAATAGATACAAAAATAAATTTGATAACAGAGATTGATTATATAAGAAAATGCATTACTTCTTTGCAAATCTTCTTCCTTTAGTGTCAAATGTTGAATATGCTAAGTACATAATTATGATAAATGTCAAAAATTGTGAAATTCACACTCAATAGGTAAGAGGTTCTGGTGTTAGGACAGACTCTTTATATAGCCTAAAATGTCATTAAATCTTTGAAAATCTTCTTCTCTGCTTCTGAGTATTAAATAATCTATATTAAGGACATGTGTGATGAAAAGAATGCTTCTATCAAAATTTTGAATTTTATGGCCCCAGGGTCAGGGGTTATGGTGTTAGGATGTGGCTCTATAATGATTATATAGTGAAAATACATTACATCTATTAAAATCTTTTTCTCTACTCCTGGGTAATAAGCAGAATGAACTATTAACAAAGTTATGATGGGATGGGCTCTTCCTCAAACATGAATTGTGAATTTCAAGGAAAACATTGAAGTCATCTAGATACCAAAATTTAAATATAGTTACTGATATACTGAAAATGAATTGTTTGAAATCTGCTCCTTGGTATTAATCAAACATTTTTGATAAGCAAGTGTGCGTTTTCAAAAATTGTGCAATGTGTAGACCTAGGGTCAGTGGTTCTTGTGTGGAAGGAGCACTCCTGATTATTGTTGAATATTACTGATTAGTTGACATACTTTTTTTTTTGTTCCCCTACCCTGCTTATCCATATTAAGTAAACAAACTTAACAATTGCTAAGTGTATAATTATGATAAGCAATGGTGTGTTACTGTAACAGTGTTGTGAATGCCATAGCATCTAGCTTAAAACATTAACCAAATTCAATCATTTGAAAGTTGTTGCATGATGCTCAGGTGACCTATAAGGCCCATGGGCCTCTTGTTGTTTGTAAGAGCATTGTCATCAGAGTTTTGATATTTTTAATTTTTGTAAAAGAGATCTGGACTATAATGACAACTGAAGTTACTTTATACTGTTTTGTTGTAGGAGAGAGCGGGGTTACTATGGATACGAAGCAGAGGAGATTACTAGGCAAGCCAAGAGTAAAGTGAAGACTGGAACTAATGTTCTTAACCAGAGCAGGAAATCCCAATCTCTGTCGGTAAGTCTTTTTAAAACTCTCATCAGTAAATTCTTGAAATTTCAGTGAATAAACACATGATATTAAAGTTGAATAAAGATAAAAATTTACATATCGTGTTTGCTTCCCTTGCCTTGCTAAAATATCGCTTACTCAGTTAGAATTTTTGTTGTAGCTGTTAAATTATTCAGAGGATGCTATGTCCAATCAGAGGCCGCAGTGGGCAACCATGAACTCCCCCTACGTGTCATTTGAGGCCAAGGTCGTAGATAAAAATAAACGCAACATCAGTCCCACTCGCAATACCGGCAATTCTTCACAGACGTTTTCACCCATCAAACCCGGGTCACGACCCGTAACAGCCAGATCAGAAAGAGACCCACCGAGTGAGTTTATTGTAATGATTCGTAATTATAAAGATACAACATTTCATTCATTACTTACAGTAAGGCCACAATAAAAATGTTCCTAGATTCTCATTACCGCCCGCCCTGAATTTTTACCACCGCCTCGATTTTTTTTGTTTTTCTTCGTCTTATTTCTGATCAGGATCGGTATTCATCTACCATTCTACTTTCGTTTTAAATTCCGCGAAAGTCGACATGATTTTGACAGCTGAAAAGATGGTAATTGCTGTAATACATGCATATATATTTTAAACAAGGGTCATTGGTTGAAAAAGATTGGTGATGATGTGAAATAAGAGATAATTAAACTTTACTATGACTTTTATTCGGGTATTGTAGATAAAATTACATCGATTGACCAGGTCAATAAAAAATCTGCAAAACTCAAAAAATAAAAAATATAAAATAAAAACCGCCCGCCCGCCCCGATTTTTGAAAAAATTCGGATGAGAATCTAGCAATTTATTTATTATGGCCTAACCTATTTAATTTATACCTAGCACTGTAAACAAAACAATTTATTGGCAATTTCTAATTGATTCAAATGTAAATACCAGCAGCTTTCATCTTTTTAAATCATATTCTATACTTTACTATATTTTTATATTAATTTTGAAATTTTTTTTATTTGACCTTTTTCATCATTTCAGTAGTAAGAGGGTGGAAATTAAATCATTTACATCTACAAAACAACGTATGCATTACAATTGTTAAGGAATGTTTTTAAGTTTTGTGTGAGTTATTGGTGTTTGAATCACACATACTTTTCACGTAGGCATATTTCATGAAGCGCATTAGCGCTTCATGAAAAATATGCCTACGTGGAAGTCTGTGTGATTCACACACCAATAATTCACACTAAACTGAAAAACATTCCTTATATTTACATTTTACATCTTTGGAAGCACCAAAAATTTACTCAATATTTGAATTTCTCGCTGCCCTATATCATTGCATTTTTGCTAACGTCGCTGCAGCCTCATTGTGACGTCACGTTAATGCATCTATCTCCGTGTATATTTCTACGCATGAGTATACACGAAAATGGTTTTCAAATCAATTTCACAGTTGGTTTACTAGAAAAACACAGCAAATGTAAATATTCTTTATTGAGTTACAAAATGGAAGGTTCCTAAAAATCTGTATAGCATAAAAAAGTGTCCATGGAAAGTTTTGGCCAATTTCTCTGCTTGATCTTGATAAATGATTTTTTTTTCTATGTAATTAACATATAAACTTATACATGTATTATGGTTGAAGTGTTAAATTTTTAGGACACTGGGCAATTAGACAAGTAGCAAGATGTCCTAATTTTCCATATTGAGGTGGTGGGTTAGATATATATCTTTTAATGTTACTCCATTGTCTAGATACTCTTCACACATCATCATGACATCTCTTACTTTTCTCTCTCTACAGCTGCCAGACTTTTCCCAGAGAAGCCCTGGAAGGTTCCTGATGGTATGGATTCTGATGAAGACATTTAATGTTCCATAGCTAGATATCTCAAGTTATAGACGTCCACTCAATGTTCCAAGCCTGGTGACCAGTCAGCCATATATGTTCAGATTCCGACGTGTCCTGTCCAGTTAATCATATAGATCTCGACTTATAAAATACAGTTAAACCTCACTATCTCAAACTCTGATACCTCAAATACTACAGATAAATCGAAGTCCCTACCACTATATTCTTAATGTACTATTTGAAACCTTGATATGTGGAACCTTCTTGGTCCCACAGAGTTTGAGATAAAGAGGTTTGACTGTATTCTAGAGCTGATATCAACCTAAGTGTCCATCATTTACATCACTGTCTCGATTCACAATTTTTTTTTGTCTTTGATATCAAATACATGTATTTCTGTTGTTGGTAAGATATTGTGCTCTGAAGGGGATTCTAGAATATTTTTTGACTCGAGAAAATTTTATACTGTAATTAGAATTTAGAAACATTTGTACATGTAACTTTTGAAAATGTGATTGCTAAATTTTAGTCTTATTTTAACAAGTAACAGTAATATTTTGACTACATGTATTTATGTAGTGATTTTAGTTTTATTTATTATTCCAGGACCTTTGTTTTGTATTAGATGTTATTCTGTTACTGGCATTGTGTACATGCCGTTGAGTTCATGCCGTCCATTAATTATTTATTTGGGATGATACTTTACAGTTAAATATTTGTAGAATATTTTACATTATAACCATTATTCCTATTGATTTTATACAGATAAAATTATTGATTTTACTTCGTATTTGAATATTTAATGTATTTTGTTTTTAGATTCAAATGAGAAATTTTGGGGACAATGATCTTTAGCAGATTATTCAATCAAGACTTCTTGATAGATTTTTTTTTACTTTTTTGTTTTTATGTACAAACCAGAAATTAGAAATTTTTCAGTATATACAAATTTTCATGTTTATCAATTGTCAGAAAATATTTCAAATGTCAAACACTAACAGCTGATTTTATGATGAACATGTTTTTTCTTTTCTATTATTTGTAGATGTTTATAATATATTTACTTAGATAGTTATGTACTATACAGTGATATTATGCTATGAGTATTGTTGTGACAATTTTTTCAGTATTGTCGAAAAACAATAAATGGTAAATAGTTTTAAAATTTATTTTCATTTTGCACATGAATAAACATAATACATAATATTGAATAGATAAAACTTGCACATTTTATTCCTTAAAGCTGTTAAATACTGAAATCAATCAATAGAAAAAAAAAACTCTCTCAAGAAGATAAAAATCAATAAATAAAGTAAAGTAATATGATATAATAAATAAATACATCAACTCAGTTATCCCAGCATTGTTTTATCAATGTTCTACATAAACATCCAACAAATGACTAGTCCACAGTAGAGCTCACCTTCCCGTAACCATCAAATCTAATAACTGACCACAAGTATACCTGCCTGCCAGTAGCTGATTATCTCCACCTAGTGTAGATTTCGGACACTAGTGGAGCACGCCTTTTGTCACCAGCTGACTCTGTACGAAGTCTTGGTAAGCCACTTTCCCGTCGTTGTTGGTGTCCAGTTTGTTGACCTTGTCCTTGATTTCGTCATCGACCTCGACCCCCATGTCTGTGAACCCCTGAAGTATTTGCTCCTTTGTCGCGCGCCCATCTTTATTGTCATCAAACTTAAAGAAGATATTGCGTAACCTTGATGTTCTGAAAATAAATAACAAAGTAGGAGTGTACGTATCGACTGTTTTACAGCATCTTTGATTGATGTCACAAATTATTCTACCCAAATTGAAAAGACATGATCGAAGCAAAGAGCTTACAAAATGTACAGTCAAACCTAAAAAGCTTGGATTGGGTCGGGCCTAGAATAAATTTTAAAGCATACAAAGTGCCTAAAAATCCATTTTTAATGCAATTGTGGCTGTAAATTCCATCTGTCTTTTACTTATCCATGGTGTAAATATATATTTGTAGATATAATGTTAACGTAGGTATATATATACAGCTGTGTATAAGTACCAGGGTGTCTATAAGTCGTCACTCACCCGTCCTTTACTCCTGGGCGGCCCATGGCGTCATAGAACTCGTCAATAGTTATAAATCCATCGCCCTCCGTATTGATAGACTTTAGAAGCTCCTACAAGTCCATAAATAATAATAAAGTCAATCTGGCAGCAAAACTTCATATAAACAAGAAAACTGACGAGGTACTCTCTTGAAACTGACAGAATGGGTGATTAGTCACAAAAATTTCAACAACATTATATAAATATTGCATGTAGTTGAGTGTAACATTGAAAATTTTCACCCCAAGAAAACCATTGCCAGCAGAGGCGCAGAAACAATGGTTTTGTATTTATTTCAGTTTATTATGCATGCAATATTTATTATATTATATGAAAATGTTTTATACAAATACATATTACAGTGAACCGTGCGCGCATAAATTCCGCAGTTTTTTGTGTTACCACCCGTCGTCAAGAATGTTGACTGTTGCTACGCAGGAGTTTTTTGCATTATTCAGCGGGTAGTAGTGTTTTTTATCAAATGTTTCTCGACAAATCAGATTCAAGTAATTTACATGAAAGTATAATATAAACAATTGTTGTATTTATTTCAGTTTATTATACCTGTGCTATTTTTTCCTTATATAAAAATTACATCGTTAAATATGAATTATTCCCTAGAAATCACTGTGATTGGACTAGTTCCTGTGTGTTAGTCAAATGAGCTAATCCCTGTTTCGAAAGTTAATTCCCGGTTATCCGTATTCCTCTTGATTTTACGTTTTTCCTAAATTCTATGGTCGATACAATGACTTTGTAAGCAAATACAATTTATCATTGAAATCAAATCTTTTGACGTTTTTCATACTAATTGTTAGTCCATTATAAACACTAATGTGTTTTTTCGTTTTTTTCATGACAAGTGTGTTTGACCGGTGCGAATAGGTAGCTAGGTTTGTCACCTGATCTCACCTCTGATGTTTTGGAGGTCCGTTTTTGCTTTGCTCCTATTTTGTATTGTTTTATGGACTTTGATATAGAATACTCCATATCCTTAATAATCGGTAAAATACACCGTATGTTAATGGACTAATTCCGGAGCGTTAGTCAAGTGAGCTAATCCCCGCTCCGAAAGCTAATCTCTGCAGTAATCTTTTATCCTCTAATTTTTATAAACTTTGTATCGGTAAAATAAGACAGTTAAAAAGTATATTATTGAGTGGGTTTGCTAGATTCTTGCAAGATGTACTCCCTACATACTTTACGATAAACTTTAACGGTATATACTAATTTTAATGATGTTAGACACGATACAGTGAGTTCTCGCTACATTGGACAATGTCTAGTGAGGTGCATGGGGTGGATCTAGTTTTAATTAGATTTTATACTGACCTCCACTTTCCATCTTTCTCCGTACCCCAGAAACATCATCAGCTTGACGAACTCTGCCGTAGTCAGTTTCCCGCGGTTTTCTTTGTCCATGGCCGTGAATTCGGCCTTGAAATAGAGCTTCTCGTAATCAATCGGGTTTGGCTCCGCCCCGTTCTTTTCAGACGAATCATCTTTAGCCGTTGTACATTTACTGAAATTGGAGAATTATTATCAACAATAAATTGAATGCACAAAACTTTAATGACTCTCTCTCTCTCTCTCTCTCTCTCCAACTTTCTGAAATGACATGCCGCACACAAATATAGACACCGATCATCAATATTATATCCTGAGCGTTGTTATTATAAGAAGGCTTAGTATGAAAGTGAGTTCGATTTTTTCATCACTTTTATAATAGAATACATATAGGTGACTAACCGTATAGATACACGTGTTTCACTATCGATATTTTGTGCAACATAAATGTAAAGAGTATAATACATATGCATAAATAAGAGGACAAGAAGAAATTACTCTATATACTGTGTATAAGCAAAAAAGAGACCCATCGCTCAGCTGAGTACGCTTGTCAGAGAAAAGCAGAAATGAAAATTAATGAAATCATGACAAGGAGCACACACAGTGGAGGTGACCGGTCGGCAGGGGATGCTTACTCCTTCAGTGCACCTGATCCCATCTAGGATATTCTGGAGGTCCGTGTTTGCTCTGCTCCTGTTCTGTATAATTAAAAAAAAATCTCCTGCGAAGTGAAGAGTGGCAAGTAAATTGAAATTTCCTCCATTTTTCTCATTGGCTGCTATTTATACCCCCACACCCGCACTTTGAATGACTACAGCTTGATTTCTGCTCGTTATCTCCATATATTTCATTCTTAAACATGTCTGTGTATTACATTGATCCACAGTTGTGGTCCCATAAAGCTAGCCCAGGGTGTCATGCTTTGAACAAACTTGAATCTGCAGTATGTAATGAAGATTTTATGTTTAATCTTTTCTGCCCAATGATTTGGTTTCTATGAAAAAGAAATTTGATAGATATAATTACATTTATACCGATGTTTATTCATCTCGCCTTGGAAGAAAGGGAAGAAATTTGAACCTCCTAACCCAAGGTTGAAACCCCCTTAATCCAGTAATTTTTTTGTGTGGTAAGTCTGGCTTATTCTTTTGAAGAAGAATGGAATTGTGAAAAGTCAGTATCGACGATGACAGACAACGGCGGTAAAATACTCGTACCTATCAGGAAAAAAAATGAACTTTTGACTTATTTGAGAAATAAAGGTTTTCAGTTCTTTAAAAGCGCCACGAAACCAGTCAGCTCTAAAAAGTAGACATCAAAAAGAACTCATCTGCTCGAATGATAAATCACGAGGATTCTGAAGGGTTTCTTTAACTTTAAATGGGCGCCTAAAGCCAAAAACAACACTGAAGTCATTTCTCTTCGTTATCAAATTACGGCTATACTGTTCGTATTCCCTTTCCTTTTAAGCAGATATTCGTAACATCAAATCATGTTATGCAGAAAGAAAAAAAATCTTAACTAGATGCCATCGATTTCTGCTTTGATGCATGCAAATAATTAATACATGTATGAAATGCATCAATGCTCTGCTTTAATTGTGCAGATAATAATAATTCTAGATTATCTATATAATTACTTCGAGGTTTCACAAACTAAGGAAAAAAATTAAATGTTAGAACAATCAACACCTACAGGTACAAGTAAAAGCATCAGATTTTAGTCAGGTCCCTACCTTTAAGTAATAGAAAAAATAGCATTGCAGCTGAACTCATGCATATTCCTTACAGAAAATAACATGATAAATGCATTATTATCCTACAGAAATACCGCGCAATTATGCGCGTGCTTTGAAGCGCGCGTGCGTTACCTACCCCTCCATGCTCTGATATTTAGATTTCTTTCCTCCCATACTGACAGTCCCCCCATATATAGTAAAAAGTCATACAGCTGTCTCCCTCTAGCAGCGAACTCAGGCTGCTACGCCTCGCTTCACACCGTAACAGTCTAACACTGTACCACTTCTGTATCAATCCATGATATCATTATACCAGTCAACAATCGGAAAAGGACAATGTTTCGACTTGCCCTTATGATTTTTCCTCATTAATTCCATATCTTTTTTTCTGTTATTCAGCATAGTCCTATAACTATATGACAGATATTTTGTGTATTTGCTCTTAAATTGACGACACCAGAACTGAATTGCATTTCTGTCAATATGAAGTTTGTAGCTTTATCTCTGATCGTAAGTAATAATAAGTAATAAAAATAGATATAATCTGTCTGACATGTTCATATGTTTGATCGATATATCAACAGCTGACGAGATGCTCACGTTAAATTATTTATCGGCGACAAATTATAAACAAAGTATAAACATTAACATTTCATGTATCAATTTAATAAAGCGATAGTTAATAAAAAAAAAATGAAGTTTAAAAAATCTCCATAATTTCGGTAAGAAAGGTAGTGACAGTGTCAGAAAGTGACGAGATTCAAGAGTTCTATGGACACTGTTGTTAAAGTAACTCTGTTTTAATACATTGTACAGTGTATGACACAGAAGCTCAATTTAAACTACAGTCTACGTTACAAATTTTACTGTCCTCCTCTGAAGATAACCCCTCCTTTCCCCCCCACCCTCTCCCAGGAGATGCAAAAAATATACAAACAAAAAGGTAAAGCAACAAACAATCAGAATAAATATCAAAATTTTTTAAAAAAGCAATTGTAGCTCAAAGCTACTTTCAGTATTTTTCATTATATACATACTTACGTGTATATACGAATACGATGATAAAATGACTAACTTTATACCCTGGATAAATGGGGATATTTTAATGTTTTGACTAATTTTTTGTCTTAGTTTCCAATGTAAATTTTTCCTTTCATTCGTGAGTATTTTTGATATGTTTGAATTAGGACCGAATTTTAATTTGGGACACAACAGTTTTTGTTACAATCAAATGGGGGTGGGGTGGGTTGGTCCTATGCACAAGCATCTGTGATTCGAGGGTTGATCCAAAAGTAATATCACAACTTCAATAAAATTAGTCGACGTACAACAACTAAACTATAAATGTTGGAACAATTATTTATTTCTTATTTTATATTTTTTTTTAAATCAGACCTGAAAATTTTATTTCAAAGTAAATGATACTTTTAAAATTATATATTTATAAACATTTGAGATTCTCGAATGAGTTCACAACTTTCTATTCTTAAATGAATTCTTGGTAGCCATTGTGCATTCACTCTTTTTATAACTTATATATAAGTCCGTTGTCAAAATTCCTTGAACAGTATAATAAGACAGTGTCCTTCCAATTACATAACTGATACACGAATTTCTTTTGAAATCAGACACCATGCTAAACATTTCCTTCCGACCCCTCTTATTTCAGTCTTCCTGTCTTCTGATAATAATTCAATGACTTTTCACACTCTCTAAAGTCGCTGTAATCATCTATAAACAAGATTCTTCTGTAATTTTTAATCATTGTAAGTCTTATCAATCTGTGTAACTGTCTATACTGGTAATTTCCCCGCTTTGAAATAAAAATGCAAAATGTACAACAGCT